AGGTCCAAAACTGGACGCCTGCCATTTGTAGATTTGGTACTACGAACCCATTTGGGTAGAAGCCTGGCCTTAGCTCCGGCTGATGTACCCTGTGTATGGCGTCTTTCCCCAGCAAACTGCTACTTCCTGTCTGATTGCTTCCGCCTTGCGGGAGTCCTCTGGCAGTGCCCAACAGGGGAGACACTGATGGGGGGAAAAGGAGATTTCAGCGGTATCCTACCAGCTACCATGTCGGATGCCGAGCAGCGGCAACAACCCAAGCTATAAATCCGGACAGGAAAAAAAGCAGGCGATCCAGCAGAGCTCGCTAGATTTCATCTCCACTCGAGGCGGAGAGAAATTAAGAGTGAAGGACCGCTACCTGTGGCGCTGCCAGGTGGCCTCGGTCACGTGGGTTCGTGACGTAAGGGGTAAAAGAATTTTGAGGTCATGGGCTTCCCCTGACCTGGATTCTATCTCTCAGTCACCGGCAGAATCGCTGATTAATGCCTACAGTTCAAAATAGTCATTTTGACTGACCGGAGTCTATGGTGGGTAATTGAACGTAGTGAATTTACTGTTGACATTTGTTGGAGTACTGGCGTGCAGAGACTCATGACAGTTTTATAGGGATACTGTACGATCAGCTTTACATCTGTGCACCAGGGATACAAGCTTACCTACCACCGGTATCCCTTAAGTACGTTAACTGGTGCCTACTGACGACTTATGCATTGGCAACCTTGAGTGTTTATCATTGAATCACTGAATAATTGGTGGAGTGCTAGAAGCAAAACTGTTAGTGAGTTGACTTTATACAGCAATTTAGTTGCAGTTATAATTTTAGTTAAAAGGGAACAGATACTATAAATAGGGGCAAGATGGCCACCGCAATTAGTATGCTTATCGGAACCAAGCCGCTCATGTGGCGGAAACTCTGGGAAATGTGTCATTTACGATGTTTAGAGATCAAGCTGCGATTCCAAATACATTTCTATGGGGACATGAATATGTACGCTAGCGATTACCGGTACACTCGTCTGGTTGGGATTTTGATGCATAAAAATGGTGTTTTTGATCGAAACGTGCCGTGACAAGTAAAAATCATGGCGGCTAATGTATGCAAAATGCCTGTCAATCACAGTTTGAGTAAGCGAGCATAATAAGCATTCATTTACTTAGTGGACAGAGGTGGAGTTAATTACCCATGAGCATGTGGTGCAATTCATGGAATCGAGCGGTTCCCCTGTAAGTTATAGTGTTAATGTTTAGATTACAAGTATAGTTACATGACAGATACTACTACAGGGTTACATGATTATAATTATGATTACAAACGTGCTATTACGTTTACGTGATTGTTATGAATACAATTAAGAATACAAATACAGTTGAGTTATGTGTGTGATGACAGTTATGTTACTAATTTGACGACAATATGAATGTGATAGCAACCACAGTTACGGATACCATAGGGTACAGTTAATTAGTAAACATACTGTAGTATATGAATGCATTTTTGAAGGAATGCCTTGGCATGTGATCATGTTTGAGTAATAAATACATGTATATTTAATGATTACTGCTGTGTTATGTCACAATTATTTTCAACGCTCTTCATCAGAAACCCCCAAAAATATCTTTTGTAGCACAGTTGGCCAAGATTCATTTCTAGTTACGGATTCCAATTCAATTTTGCCCTCTGAACCCTGTATACCAAAATCGATCCTTTGTTAACTAACACATCCAGTCCCTTCTGTCAACAATCATGCAAGTTAAACTGGCACCATGGTTTGACAAATAATTCCCAACATCACAGGTTCAGATACCAGTAAAAAATTTTAAAGTTTAGGAGACCACATTTTGTCAAGTCAAATTTGTGCTCCACCAATAAATTCACCCTGACGTATTTAGACATGCTGGACAGCACTTAATTTTCCAACTTGACGTAAAGGACCTTCAAAGTATATTCAAAGTCAACACTATTTCAGCTTCTTCAAAGTAACCAGGTAATGCCAATGATCACCCACAACCGGTATAGTGTAAAAATGTATAAAAAAAATTTGATAAATATTTTTACTCTTTATTTTTCAATCTGTCACTACAATAGATCATTTAGTGGATGTTGTGCCTTGTGTCATGCAGTTGTCACACTATGTACAATTACATTAATATCTTTAGAACATTGCATAGGAAATTAACAATACATTTACAATACGCAGTAGAATACATTATTTTCACAAAAAATAAGAACTTAGTCAGTTGTGCATCAAGTATTTTGACTTGTTGCATGTACCCATTAGGAGTAAATTTATATTTTTGATGATTCGCTATGTCAGCAAAAAATAAAGTAGTCTAATGTGCTTGTAAACATACACTAATTTTAAAATGTTTGATAAGAAAAAGAACAAACAGTTTTTACATAAGATATTACTTGTAAACAATTAAATTTTTAGCATTAATGATTAAAGGAAATTCCACAAGGACAAAATTTCAGGGAAAGTGAGTCACCCTTTCAAGATTAAAGACACTGTGTAAATAAGAAACTAACATTTCATTCAAACATAATTCAAAGTAATACAACAAAACGTTTAAATATTTTTTTGTTTTAAAATATACAAGTGGTTATATTGTTATCAGTTTGTTCATGAAATCAAGTCATATTGTGAAAAGTACAAAAAATTATCAGAAACATCACAAATATTGCAAGAGAAAAACAGACTAAAATGAAATCAGATCATATTTTTTATCATTTTGAGCAATCAACTGAATAATATTACTTGATTTGCCAGTTTCTGTCAAGTACATGTCAGGTTCTAATAAAAAAAAAGGTGCAGAGGAAAAAACCTTGTGTTCCAGTCTGTACACACAGTATTAACTGCTTTCTGTACAAACCTTCATAAATGCACCAATCTTGTAGGTAGACACTCACAACTGCTCGACAGTACTGGTTATCATTGACCTGAAACATGACAGAACAAAATAAAGATGACACGCTGTACTATAAATCAATGTTAGTAGATGTATCACTAGAAAAGAACAATGCCTCATTTCCAAATTTAAACAAAATCAACTGAAAAGGATAAATGACAAAAAGAAAAAAAATCACCAGTATGTCGTTATGAATCAGTGACCAGGTTTGTCTGTAATATTACCGTACTTATCCGGGTAAGAGCCCATGCCTGGACAAACGCCCACCCCCCACTTTTGACACAATAAAGAAGTTGAGGTCATATCCGGGCACACGCCCAGGGGGTCTTTTTCTACACAAAACAAAAAAAATATTTTCTATTCGTTGACTGTGGTTGTATTTCTTGAAGTCTGTCGTGATACTTATAAAAATTGTTAATTGCGTAAAACAAGGAGTGAACGCAAAATAGCTGTGACAACTTTCTGCCTTCAGGGCAGCGCGTTCACCACTGATTTTTTTCAGAATCATAACAGTCAGCAAGTTTATAAAAATAAATATTAAAGCAGAAATGGTAGTTCTCTTTTTGAAATATGTCGTGGCCCTAAAAAGGGCCGGCCGTTTGGTTTGTGCATCCTCAATCTGATTAAAATCTGATGTAGTGTACGGGCTTTAATTATTTTGGCTATAAACTTATTTTTATTATATTTGTTATTAATGCCCTTTTATTTTATTATTTTACTTTGATTTTGATTTTGTGATTTTTTTTAATTCCGCCCTACCTACATCTGAGCCGATGCCTATGTAACGAGATTTCAACGAGACCCACTATCGACAGACCTCCTTCTATAGTGCACATGATGACGTCATGTAGCAAACAGACTCAAATAAAATGGCGGATTATACAGACGTTAGCGACCGAGAATGACACCCGGGGAATGACACGGCTTTTCGGTAAGTTTATCATTGTAAAATGCAACGAAAGTCATTTTTATGTTAATATTGTGGCTCGAATGGTTCAATCCTTATTTTGCATAGTTATTCTGGGAGTGACGATTTTGTTTCCACCGGTTCGACCGAACACCGGTGTCTTTTTCCAGTCGCCTGCCCTGGAGACAGGTGATGTTTTGTTGACGATTGGGCCAAAATCGTCTCCGGTATTGAAGCCGTAGCTGTAAATATTCATCAAATTGTATCAATGTTTTGTACATTATACAATAACTCTTTATTAAAGTAATTGAGCTGATTTGGACTGGAATAAAATATTTTTTTTTATTTGGAACACATCGCAATTGATCAGGAAATATTATTTTGCTCCAATTTTCTGCGTCGATGCCGTGGGCCGGTGACCGCTATACAATTTAAAATCAGTTTGCATTGTTTACTATAGCTGTTTACAGTGTTCTAATCATTACGATTTACTTATTTTTTTGCTTCCATTCTAGATAATTAAGCGATGACTGAATGAACGAACCTTGGCTGGCGAAGATGTATCTGGAAGTGTACACATTTGTTGGAAGTGAAAAACATATTCAATGTAATGACAAAAATTGTAAAATGCTGTGGAATTTCTTTTGCAAATAAAAATATACTAGCAATTTTCTATTAATGGTTTATTCAAGTGGGCAAAATATAATGTATAGATAGATTGCCCGTATACACTGAAAAGTAAGCAACCGACAGCCTGTATAAAAGGGGGTCTGTGATTGGCTGTTACTTACGCGAGATTTGAACGGGACTTACATAGGCGTCGGATCAGATGTAGGTAGGGCGGAATTTAAAAAAAATCAAAGTAAAATAATAAAATAAAAGGGCATTAATAACAAAAGTAATGAAAAATAAAATTAAAATAAGTTTATAGCTAAAATAATTAAAGCCCGCACACTACATCAGATTTTAATCAGATTGGTGCATCCTTAGAAACGATTCAAGCAAATCGTATAAGGAGAGCCGCTAAGCAAGTGTCGCACTCGTTCGGCTTTAGCGTCGCCAACAATGAAAACAATATTGCAATATTATAGCAACCTGTACCTGGGAGAAATGTTGAAATCACGTTATTTTGGCTTTATAAATATTTTGTAGCAGCTTGCGAATCCATAACTGGGGCCAGCAATTTTGCAATGGTACGCCGAAGACTGACAACTTTTTTACCATCTTTTATCACCGCTATTGCATTTCTGTCATGAAAACTATTCTTCTGTCGTTGGATAAAAAAAAAACTTTCCATTTCAAGTCCACCGCGATATCCATATAAGCGTCGAGTCTGTTAAGAAAGCAATGTCACGATTTGACCTTTATGATGAAATACTAGTACAGTCAAACCTGTCTATAAAGGACAGTCAGTGGACTGAGCCAAACTGTCCTTTATAGACAGGTGGTCTTTATATGAAGAT